AATAAACACACTTGATACAGCAGAAAGTATCTTCAATAATGAGATAGGCATGAGACGGCAAAATTACACTTGATTAAATTTTTATGCCAAAATGAGTGTGGGCAAGGACTTTCTACATTTGGACCTCTTTTTTACCTAATCAAATATATCTTAAGTAAACAAGGGTTGCGGTAAATGCGATTCTACGACGTGCAAAGACTGTATAGGAAACTTGTGCAATGCTGGAGATAAGTTTACGTATTATTGCTTGGACAATGATGGAAGAAGTTTAAAAGAATGTGAAAAACCAGAATGTTTTATTTCTAAAGGTATATCACTCAAATAATTAATTTAATAAATGGGTGCGAAGACACTTGTCGGCTGTCTACTAAACATAGATTTTTAAATTTTGTATTGAGTTTATAAAATAAAAAATGTTTAAACAATAAGTTAAGATTACTATCCAATTCCATTGGCAATAGGCTTAGAATATCAGTAAAGGCTAACATTTTTGAATCAAGTTTTGTCTAAAACATTAAAGTAATTCAGTTCGTCTAGCAACTTCCTTTATTTTAAATTCAACATTTCCTTGTTTGAATCTTTTTCTCATACCTACCCGAGCTTAACTTCCCAAAAAGAATTTGGATTTACAGACTAAACATCCAAAATATACACAAAATTCAGATTCAAAAGGTGGATGCGGAACTTGTGATGAAAAGAAAATTGAAAAGTCATGCGTTGATTGTAAAGATTTAAAATGTAACTCGAAAGACTTGTTGGCTAAAACAGTTTTTTGTTATGAAAAAGTGAAAAATGGAAAGACAAATGAGGGGAAAAGGCCATGTTTGGCAAAGAAATGTTTTATATCCTATGACACTAAAATTGGTAATTTTATATAGGAAAGAATTATTGTGTGAATCACACATTTTAATTGAAATTAGTCTTAGTCAAAATAATGAACTTTTAGTTGAACAAGGCTGTGGAGATACACCTAAAGAAGTTAAGGATATTCAATTTGCTGTATGTGAACAACCATTATGCAATACAAAAGAATTATTTGACAAAACTTTGTTTTGTTTGAATAAAAGTATACGAGATGAGGAATTCATAAAGGGAATAAGACAATGTAATCAGGAATGTTATGTATTTAGATATATGAATGGGAATTGTATGCAATAAATTAAAGCTAAAAATATTATAATTAATATTAAGTGGCGCAAAGCTGCGGAAATTGCAAAGGGCAGGATTCTAATTATTGTTATGCTTGCAAGAAGAATTATTGTAACGAAGAAAAGAATGTTTATAAAAAATGTAGACTAGATAACAATAAAGAATCTAATTATTGCGGAATTAAACATGGAGATGATTGTTATATTGAGATTAGAAAAAATAATATAGGTCGGGATTTTTACAAAAATTTAAATTTTTTCAATTTCCATGTATATTCCAGCTGTAAGGGGCTGTGGTAAGTGTCCTAGTTTAGCTTGTGTAACATGCAACACTAATATGTGCAACCTTAACTATGATTTTAAAACCATTTGTAGATCAAAGAATGGGAATGAGAAATGCAAAGAAACAAATTGCTTCATTGCTTCCGTTGATGAAGGTGAAAAAGGTAGAATTCAAAAATTTAATCGGATAACTGAAATGTAGGCAAAACAAAGTATAAGTAATATCAGAGTTTCAATCTATCAGTCCCCAAAATAATTTAAAAAGCCCAAATTAATAATAGATTAGAGATTTAATTTGGGTCGTTCTTACTCAAATCCGCTAGGGATAGATGTTTCTTCCTCTGAAAAATGTGACTTAATCAGCAAAGATATACATATATTCTTTTAGTAATTGATTACGGCTGTGGCAAATGTGATGTGTTGCACCCTAAAAATAAGTGTGTAGACTGTGATACAGGTCCATTGTGTAACACTAAGGAATTTATCAACAAATCAAAGTTTTGTCTATGGAAAACAGAAAATATGCCTAAACCCGTTGGCATGAAGAGAGTGTGTAAAGATTCATGTTTTGTATTGAGGGACAAAAATGGAAAAGGTTTGAGAATAAAAATAGGGAAGAACTTATGAGGATTTTCCATTAATTCGCCCAAATATCTTGGTATTAAGCTTAATCCCAGGCTATCCCTGTTAATCCAAAAATATTCTTTCAAATATCTCAAGCACTTCTACTCCCTCTATATCCTTCCATTGGGACTCAATCGGGGTATATACAAGTAGGACTGTACCGTGGGCTGAAACGTGAGGACTAAATCAATGGCTTTAAAACAGTGATTATTGTTGATAAGTTGGCATAATATTAGTATTCTTTAAACCCTAATAGGTATCAAAGATCCAATGTCCATATTTCGATAGAATCTGTAGGGAATTACATATTTAGTATCCGCCAAGTCTGTCCGCATTTTCTACTTTTCAACAAAATTTTTTAGTTAAACAAGACTGTGGCAAATGTCCAACTGACACAGACTGCGTAGAATGTAACACAAAATATTGCAATAAAGAAAATCTTGTTCCAAAACAATGTTGGGGTAACAATGGGACTATATGTAAAACATCGTTCGAAACTCCTTGTTTTGTGGATAGAATGGAGAATAACACAGGCATTGACTAAATAAATTTAAAATTTTTTTAAAAATATTATTAAAGAAAACAGAGGATGTGGAAAGTGTAATTCTACATCGTGTAGCGAATGTCAAGATAATCGTTGTAATAATTGGACTGATACTTATTATTGTAAAGGTTTTGAAGGTATTAATGGAGTTAAAGAATGCCGTAAAAATGACTGTTACATTTTAAAATTGAATAATAATAATAAAGGTAATATTAAATAAGGATATATTTCTGTGTCTATTAATTCATAATATAGGGGCTGATAATCTTGAAACAAATAGGCGAGGGATATTCTTACTTATGAAGGCGGAAAAAAATCGAAAAGCTAATAAATATAAAAATTATAGATGTAAGTACTGTAAGAAGGAGGAAGATAAAGCAGGGAAGCATCTATAATGCTCAGAAGGTTCAAGGGGTTCAAGATTTATTTTAAAAGGTGGTTAGCTCATTGCTGTGTTGAGCACCCTTATTTGGTGAGCAATAGAGATGTGCGAGACTCTTGGTCTTGGTCTTGGAACCAAGACTTTTCTTGGTTTTTTTTCGGTCTTGGTCTTGGTCTTGGTCTTGTGGTGTTTGTCTTGGTCTTGTCTTGGTTTTATTTTTTGGTCTTGGTTTTTTGGCCTTTTTGGACCTAGTGCTTGGCCTTGCAATATTCTCAAAATTTTCGCCTGCGGCGCATAAAATGGAAGAATCTGGCTTCTTGAGCTCCAAAATTCAAAAAATTTTCGCCTGCGGCGCTGAAAATGTGAATTTTTTTGGCCTACGGCCTTCCAAAATTTTCAAAATTTTTGCCTGCGGCGCTGGAAAAGGAAGATTTTTGGCTTCTTTGCTTTCATAATTCCCAAAATTTTCGCCTACAGCGCTAAATCCCACGGCAATTCCTCTTAATCTTTTGATATCACTAATATCCCGTTAATCCACCCAAACCCTCTGAAATAATAACCTATTTTATTGATTTTCCACAGAATAAATTCCCCGAAATTCTTTGAATTTCGCATAAATTTTTCGAAATTATAGATAATTGTGCTGAAGTTGACTGTGATCGTATCAAAATAACAAAAAATGGACCAAAAATTTGACCTATGGGATTTAAAAATTTGGTCTTGATTTTTGGTCTTGAGTCTTGGAGTTTTGGTCTTGGTCTTGTGTCTTGGTCTTGGAAAAAATTTTGTCTTGGGTCTTGAGTCTTGAGTCTTGGAAAAATTTCGGTCTCGCACATCTCTAGTGAGCAAAGGCGCTTGTAAAATCTATGCCGCTATGCCGCCCGGATTAAACTTTTCTCGCTCTTACTATAAAGCTTTCATTTTCAGTCAATAATCTTAATGAATTCTATTACGACTGTGGAAAGTGTCCTGTTAACAACGAATTCTTTAAAAATACATCTAATGTGTCCCTTTCCAAAAGATTGGTTGGAACAAATTTAAGTGGAATTCAATGTGCAGAATGCAATAATGGTCCTTTGTGTAATACTGAAAAGTTTTTGGAGAAACAAATGTTTTGTTTTGAGAAGTCGGAGAATGACACAAACATAATTAAAGGGGCAAGAGTTTGTCGAGATAAATGTTTTGTTTCGAGGAATTTTACAACTGGGAATGGTAAGCAATTAATTTAAATTTATTCACATATACCTTGAGAACATCAACAACTCAATCTAGTGGATAAACCTCTATTTAAGGGACGTTTCCAATGTAGTTAGCCACTGGACGGAGAAAAGAAGCTGCCTAAATGATATCCCCAAGTTAAGGCTATATCCCAAGTTATATCCCCAAGTTATAAGATTTGACTGTTGACGACCCAAGTTGACAACTTATAGTGAGGTCTGACCTTTTGAGAATTAAATTATTATGGTACTCTGCGTTTATATACCCCCACGTCCGCAAATGTTTGTCCGCAGCTTTTTTCCTTTTCCTTCTCCTTTCTCCTCTCACAAGGATGATAAATGGTCAAGCATCAATAAACCCCCATTTTCTTTGTCTTCTCCGTCTTTACTCCTTTCATTTTGATTAAAATGGTCAAGTAAAAATAGAGGTCAAGAATTTGGCACTCTTCACTTATATGCCCATTTTTCACCGTGTCGAAACAGAATAAGTATGGCGTCATTCGAAAGAGCTTGAAAAACTTAGTCGAATTAGTGCAGGTATAAGTTGGTCCGGTACCTAGGAACCGAGATATAGAGCTCGAAAAGGTCAAAAACCAAGGTGGAGTAAGCTCACTTTGGAGTGAAAAATACGAAATGCAAGTGATTGATAGCTCATTTGATTGAACTCGTCGAGCTGAGTCGAATAACACCAGAATCGACTTTATTCGATGATTCTAAGCAAAATTGTGACCAACTGAATTTTCGCTGCAATAGCCTCCAAAATAATTTCTAAACATTGTTTTATTTTTAAATGACCATTTTAATCAAAATGAAAGGAGTAAAGAAGGAGAAGACAAAGAAAATGGGGGTTTATTGATGCTTGACCATTTATCATCCTTGTGAGAGGAGAAAGAAGGAGAAGGAAAAGGAAAAAAGTGCGGACAAACATTTGCGGACGTGGGGGTATATAAACGCAGAGTACCATTATTATTTTTTATTAGTAACACAAGGATGTGGAAAGTGTTTAAGTGACGAGAAAATTGACTGTATTGCATGTAAAGAGCGTTATTGTAACACTGAAGACAAGGTTGCCAAGCTTTGTTGGACAAATAAAAATGAAAAGTGTAAAACCAAAAATCCTTGCTATACATTGAGAACATCAACAAATGAGGGTTTTAATTCAATTTAACTTTAAAATTTAAGAAATTTTTTAAAGTTAAAAAAGGATGTGGAAAATGCCCTTTCCATACATGTGAAGAATGTAATGACCATCTTTGTAATAATCAAGATCCTTTCTATTGCTTTGGCTTTATGAATAGTTATAGAAATTGTAATAAATCTGACTGTTATATTGCTAAAATTGAAGAGAAGAATGGAGGTGTGTTAGTATACATACATGTTTCTCTTTAAACTAGGGTAACACTCCATTCACAAACATTGTCCGAGCTGAACCAGAAGGCCATACCGGCAAACCACTATCTCAAGAAACTCAAAAATTTTCGGTTCCTATGCTAAAAAAGGATTTTGCCATTTTCTTGATTTTAAAAAACGAGGATTTCTGACTCTTGGCTTTTTCCCGACACTAAATATACTGTCACTCCAATCCCGAAACCCCCGAAGGGTCGATTTCTACCCTAATATAAGTTTCCCAATATTATAGACGAAGAGATAGACCAATTCCACTATGATTGTGGAAAATGTCCATCAGGCATTCTCAACCTTTCTCCATACATCAAGACTAAAGGTCTAACACTCCAAAACAAAATAAAGAAAATAAATATGAGTAATGTTCAATGCGCCCAATGTAACAATAAACCAGCTTGTAATGCAGATACATTTTTTGAAAGTCATTTGTTTTGTTGGGAAAAAGAGTTTAAGGAATGGACAGCAACGAAAGGAAAAAGAGTTTGTAAACAAGGATTATGCTTTGTTGGGATTAATAAAGGAGAAAAGGGTAAATTAAAATTTTTGGTATTTGTCGGTTATCTGTGCCTATTTTTTAAGGAATAGTACAAGGTTGTGGCAAATGTTCTGGACAACATAATCTGGATAAATGTTTTAATTGCTCAACTCCTCTCTGCAATGATGAAACAAAACTTTCTCAAATTAAGTGTTACAAACTTACTTACAATCAACAGCCTTATGAGAAGAAAGCTAAGACATGCCATCCATCTGTTGACAGTTGTTACATTGCTAGGGACATCTTCTGGAGGAGTAGGAAAATTTTAAATAAATCGTTCTTCTACATGATTTTTCGGACTTTTCTTAACTTTTTCGATTTGAAAATTAAATTTTAAGTCGAACAAAACTGCGGTGAATGCCCTCCAAAATACAAAAATTGTGTAACGTGTAATCACACCGATTTGTGTAATGAAGACTCTTTACTTCCCTTATCAACAACAACGGCTGAAACAAAAATAAACAGTTGGGTATCTTCCACAACCACGAAAATATCGTCTAAAAAGGAATCTACTACGCTTATTAAGGGCACAACACCTCGGGTTCGTCAAAAATCTTCAGCACAAATAAATAAGCATAAAAATAATATAATGGCTTTGACTCTGTTACTATGCTCCTTGATAAAATTCTTAAATCTAAAATATTTTTTCGATTGTAGTTATTAATTACTTTAGCTAAAGATATGTTACCGTATCGCTAGATTGATAGCTAATTTAAGAAAGGCAGTTAATCACTCGTTTAAAATGGAAGAGGTGTTTGAGGGATGGCAATAATTAGTTAGTTCTAATTAATATTTTTATAATAATTCGATGGACTGTAATATTTGTTAAAATTTTTGAGTTTGAAAAATGAAAAGTTTACTCAACCATTGTAAAAAACAGATTCGAATAATAAAAGAAATAAATTTTAAATAAGATCAAAGAAAAGAGTGCTCAAAAATTAACAACCAAAATGAGCCAGGAAAAGAATAAAAAGGAAAATGTTGCCCGTAAATATGGTAATGGCAATATAGTAAATATTTGTAATTTACTTTTCTAAGACTTTTCTAAGACTACGGGACTAAAAAATAGATTTAAGATTTGAGTCAAGTCTTGGTCTTGAGTCCTGGAAAATTTCCGGTCTTGGAAGTCTCTATTACTAGCTATTGAATATGGAACTAGACAAATTTTTTAGGTATACCGATAGACTTTAGTTGCCATTACCATCTTGTGGTGGTATAATAATAAGAAAAGAAAATAGAAAAGAGTTTGCTCAATAAATAACAACCACAATGAGCAAATGAATGTAATCACTCGAATAATCGTTACAATGCTCACCTCCTATTTTTTCTTAAAAGTCCTATTCGTTGTCTCATTGTTGTTCATCATCTGATGGCGCAAGATAGCCTGTAAATTTATAATTATGATTCGATTAAAATGAATAGTTACCGTATCGAAGAGGAGGAGCGGCGTTTTTTCTATTACGTCTAGTTCTTCTTGATCCCGATTGACGAGCATGACTAGTTCCTACATTATGTTGTTGAGGTCCATACAGATCAACAGTTAACTAATATAGTAATTTAATTAGTATATTTTAAATTTTTTTTGGCTGATTAAATACAATTTGGTCGGTCCCAGTTTTTCTTAAATTCAGATTTGCTTAAAATTCCAAAGACTTTTAATGTACAAAATATATGATCGATTTAAGCTAGTTATTGGGCTTTTGAAATTCTTTTAGAATAGGGTATGATCCAAAATTTATATAATGTTCCCAAAGTCCATTTTAGATTTTTATAACATAAATCACATTTAATCCATTAGGATTGTATACAGAATAGTTATTCGTTGGAGGTGGTTGTGCCCATTCTAACGGAGCTTGCATATTGCCAATATTTTGACCTATTAATTTATTAAATATAGATAGTTGCTGAAGTTATAATTATTTTTATTTAAAATTATTTATAAATGAAAAAAATTTTAAGTTTGAGAAGAACTCTATTTTGACCATGTACAGAAACGAATGTTTTAATTATAACCAACCGTCAAACAAATGTTCACGAATTCTGAATCCACCTCCTATAGGATTTTCTACTTCCTATATTAGAATAAATATAGGTAATTGATTATATACAATAGTATATTAAGTATATTATTAATGGGGCTTCCATTTATCTGGATATAAAATCGAAAAATATGGACATAAAATATGGATATAAAATCCTGAAATATGGATAAAAATATAATGAAAAGATATTTTAAAAATCAGTATTTTATGTAGAAAACAATAATTTTGCCTTTAACTTTGAATTTTAAGAGCATTTCTAAAAATTTTATGGATTTAAAATTTCTGTTAAAATTTTTTTGAAAATAAATTTTTCCGAAAAATTTTTAAAAATTTTTTTGACCAAAAATTCCCAAAATTTTGAGAATTTTCGCCAATTTTTGCTAAAATTTACCAAAAAATGACCAAATATTTACCAAAATATTCAAAAAAGGAGTGGGGCATAATGCCGAAATATGGAAAAATATGGAAAATATGGATTTTAAAGACCATTCTAGAAAAACTAAACAAACCAAAACATGTTTTTCGTACATTTCAGCGTTATAGGAATTCAGGAAAAAAATATGGATTTCCTTATATGTAAATGGAAGCCCAATTTATTAATATTATAAACAAAAAATCCATGCGTTACATCAGAGATTTTTATTCATAATGTTTTTATAAAATTACCTCTCCGGGCTCATTTTGGCGGGTTTGATCATGCTCTACATTGTGTTGTTGATCATACTGACCATTTCCCTCGTCTCCTCTTGAAGTTGAAGCTTCCCCAGTTGGTTGAAGAGGATCTTGAGTGCGCGAATTTCTTCCCCTTCTAGTTGAGCAACCAATTTCGTTCCAAAGTACCACAAATAATAAAACTATAACAATTTTGTGTGCACACATTTTCAATTTTTTTTCTATAAAAACGTCTTGAAATTTTCAAAAAGCAATTTAGATATGTACAGATTTTATCACCATGCTCATAAATTTCTGAATTTTTCTTTTTTTATTTCACCACTACAAATTTTGGTGAGGAAACGAGCAAAACCGAGGAACCCCAGATTTTTCGGTTCCTATTTCCGGAAATTTTGATTTCTAAAAATTTTTTCCTATTCCAAAAATTTTCACCATTGGCGGTAAAGAGGTGAATTTCAGTGGCAATAATCTAAAATCCAAAATCTTTTTTATACTTACTTTAGTATAGTAAGTTTGGAGGTTTCAATGCAATCTCGGGGTATCCCGGACCAATAACCGAAACAAAAGTTTGCATATCTGAGTTTTCCGGTCATACAAGGAGCTGCGAACATCAATAAACAGCTTTTATTATGTTTTTAATTATTAAAACAAGTAAAATTTTTCTAATATACATTTAAAACTTGTTAAGAGGTTAAATAAATATTTGCATATACAGAACAAATTTTATTAAAATCTAAAGTTTGTTATGTTTTAAGGGAATGGCTTGGCCCTGTTAATGACCTGCTATTTTTAAGAAAAATAGCAAGTTATTTAACTGAGGAATCCGGAGAAAATCGTTCGAATTTAAAGCATCTGAAATCGGAAGTCATTTCCAAATACGATCACAAAAAAACTTTATTTTTATTGATGTTTTGGATCCCTGCTAATGTAGGAAAAAAATAAAACAAATTATGCTTACGGATCATGTATTTTCACAAAAATTTTAGGGGTGCTTATACTTTCTTAACAGAGTGTACGACACTGTTTCAAAAACTAAACAAAAAATTTGCCCTATGAGACCAAAAAATTGTCTTGAGTCTTATTAATTGATAGTATTTAGCCTGGGGTTAAGATTTAGTCTTGGGTCTTGGTGTCTAGTCTTTGTCATATGTCATGGAAAGTTTACGGTCTCGCAAGTCTCTAGGATCTTCGCACTATTCCAAATTTCACAAGAAGCACTGATTTATCCAGACTTAAAAAAGCAAAATGATCAAACAGTGAGTTGAGGACTAAGAACTACCACTGAAGACCTACACTCTTAAGAAAATTCAAAATTTTATATGAAATTAAAAAAAATTTTGTTAGGATGATCGACCAACGTAAAAACACATTCCTTATAGATGATCTGTAATGAATTTTCATTATTTTTAACATATATAAAGTTAATTGCTTTAAAAATTTTAATGAAATGAATAATTTTATTTAAATTCAAAATGGATAAAAATGGAGAAAAT